GCACACCATAGTCTTCAAGGTGACATCTTTGCTTTTTAACACTTCTAAGAGGTCTTTTGCTGCATATTTGCCCAGTGCAATGAGTCTTTTGATTTCTTGACTGCTTCTTCCATGGGTGTTGATTGTGGATCCAAGTAAAATGAAATCCTTGACAACTTCAAACTTTTTTCCGTTTATCATGATGTTGCTCATTGGTCCAGTTGTGAGGATTTTTGTTTTCTTTATGTTGCGTTGTAATCCACACTGAAGGCTATGGCCTTTGATCTTCATCAGTAAGTGCTTCAAGTCCTCCTCACTTTCAGCAAGCAAAGTTGGGTCATCTGCACATCGCAGGTTGTTAGTGAGTCTTTTGTTGATCCTGATGCCCCATTCTTCTTCATATAGTCAAGCTTCTCGAATTATTTCCTTGGCATACATATTGAATAAGTATGGTGAAAGATACAACCCTAATGCACACCTTCCCTGACTTTAAACCATGCAGTATCCCCTTGTTCTGTTCAAACCACTACCTCTTGATCTATGTACAGGTTCCTCGAGAGCACAATTAAGTGTTCTGGAATTCCCATTCTTTGCAATGTTATCCATAATTTGTTGGATCCACACAGTCGAATGCCTTTGCGTAGTCAATAAAACAGGTAAACTTCTTTGGCGGGTGTGCCTTAAACTGCAGTGCTTCTTGAACTTTAACGAGCATGTAAATCACCTGAGGATCTTGTTGAAAGACAGATTCTAGTTAAGTAGATCTGGGGTGTGTGGAAATAGACAAAGGACCACCCAGGTAAGAATAAACAAAGGCTGCTTATTCAGAACTTCCACAGCAAGGAAGTCAACCACCTTATCTTTCTTTTGACAGAGACTCAAAGGCAGGCAGGAGAGTGGGAAAGCTTTCTAGTGGAAGGCAGGACAGCCTGTTGGGTAGAGCAGCATACTTGGCTCTCTCTGGTCTTTCCTTAGAAACCCTAGTGGTGTAGTGGTTAAGAGTTTGGTTGCTAACCAAAAGGTCGGCAGTTCAAATCCACCAGGCACTCTTTGGAAACCCTGTGGGGCAGTTCTACCCTGTCCTACAGGGTCACTATGAGTTGGAATGGACTTGATGGCAATGGGTTTGGTTTCTTTTTTTTTTTTTTTGGTTTGGTCTGTCCTTAGTTGGAAGCGGGGACAAAAACTAAGGAAGCTGTCAGTTATTAATCACGTCCTGGCTATTTGGGGCCCGCTGTCACCGGGGATGGCCGTTTGGCTCCCTGGACGGTAGCTGCAGGTAGTGGTGTGACTTCCTGGCTGGACGATGCAGGTCGTGGGTCAGAGGTCTGTCTTTCTATGTGGTCCGGCCATTGTCTGTTCTTTCAGTCTCAAGAGTGGGATTTTGTTTACAAAAGCTCCCAGACGATGCCGGTGCTACTGGCCATGGGCCGCGCTGCGAGAAGCAAGGCAAGAGCAGGGGCTTCAGTGAGCTTACGGAATATATTTCTTGAGTGGATTTTGCCTGCATGGCAGAGTTCAGTGTGAAACTTGCTTTCTTCAGAACCTGCCACTTGGAGTGGGTGGTGAGGGAGGAGCCCTAGGCTCTACTCTGACTCCACTGCTGGTTGCCAGTAGTTTCCAAAGAACCCCGTAAACATGAACCTCTGAAATGGCGGGGGCCAGTGTGGTTCAGCTACTGGGTATAGCTTGTTGGTGCTGTCGTTAGCGGCCTAGCCGGCCCCCGACTCATAACGACCCCACACGCAACTGAACAAAAACACTGCCGGGTCCTGGTCCATCCCCATGATTGGTTGCGGATCTGATCGTTGTGATCTGTAGGCTTCTCATTGGCTCATTCGGAAGTAGGTCACCAGGCTTTTCTTCCTATTCCGTCTTAGTGTGGAAGCTTTGCTGAAACCTGTTCAGCATCAGAGCAACATGCAAACCACAGGGTACCTCATGTTGAATGATACAGACCCAGCCCTTGCCATCTTGGAATTTACCATCTAGTGAAACCGACCAAGAGGCAGCACAGAAACTATTTTAGGATTTGCTCTGAAGGAAACAAATCGGGCGCTGTGATGGAGACTACGGGGAGAGGCCACCGACTTCAGATGCAGTGGTCGATAAAGGCCTCTGCTGAGACCTGAGGGTCAGAAGGCACCAGGTCTGTGAAGAACAGGGAAAGAGCCTCCTAGGCAAAGGGAGGAGCTAGCGTGAGGGCACCAAGTCAAGGAAGTCTCCCATTTAAGGAACTGAGGGTCATTGTGACTACAGGGCAAGAGAGGTGATGTTTGGCTTGGACTGTTGATGGGGAAGATGACAAGAGACAAGAAGACTCCTAGGCCATTCTTGCCTAGTACATCACCTTTAAATAAATTCTTTTTTTAAATAAAAAAAAAAACCTTTTCCATTTGATCTCTAAAAGTTCTTTATATAGTAAAGGTATTAACTCTGTCAGATGTATTTCAAGTACTTTTCCAGTTTGTACTTTGTCTAAAAACCTTATTTTATAGTGCTGTTACAGTCGACTGGTTCTTGAACGGAGACGTGCTTGGGGAATGGTAATATACTCAGGAAGAGGGAAGCTAATCAAAGAAATTGGTGGAGAGATGAGTAGCTCTGACTTTTCCATTTTCAGCTTGAGGCGCTTCTTAGAAGCGAGGACTAGGCATGGGATTGGTATCATCTGTGTACAAATGGTTGTTGACATGAAAAGAATGCTGGGGAAGGGGACATCAACGAGACCACAGATAGATCCATTGCTGAAATCCTCTTCTCTGGAGAGCCAAGGCAGAGTTGTGGTAAATAAAGCAGCAGCCAAAATTTAGGTTGTAAGACTCGTCACCTGTCACAAATTGAGGCTGCCAAGGGTACCTGGGGGTAACAGCCATAACATAAGCAACGGCAAGGGCCCTGAAACACTCCTAAATAAATTCCTGAAGTAGGAAATCAGAGGAAGCCTATGACCCTGGGCTCAAGGCAAAGGAGAGCTGAGGCACAGAATTTTGGTTCCTGGACAATGGGCTTGGGTAGGGTAGTTCTGACTACAGTGTGTTATCTGTGGTTCAAACTGTCTCCAGCCCCGCAGACTCATGAATGAGGAAGAGGGTCTGCAATAAGAGTAGACGAATGTAAGAGTTTCGTCACTAAAATCTCCAAGGGTAACCTCTGCAGACTCTCTGCTGCTCTGGCGCTTTGAGTGGAGCCAGTTCATCCACCCTACCCATCCCACTGCAGAGAGGACAGAAAAGGGCAGATTTGGGCAGTAGTTTTAGAACTGAGTGTGCTCAAGCCTCCAACCTACACCTTTTATTTCCTAGTTTCACATCCCAGCCCTAGTACTGCGTTAGGCACTTTTGTTTTGAAGGCCTTATCAGGACAGGGCAGCATTTGCTTCGTTTGTGCTTGGGGTCCCATGAGACAGGACGACTCCTGGGCAGCTAACGGCGACAACAACCACATTCAGATCCCAGTGTCTTGGTCGGCGCCACTTGGGGCACATCTGCAGACCCAGGGAAGGGAGTAGCTCCCCTCCTGTGACCTGCAGGACCCTGGCCAGGGAAAACACCACTGGGTATTGATGGCTTCAGCAGCAACGGTGGGCCACGCTGCCATCTTGCCCTGCCTTTGGTTAGTGTCCTGACTTGGGAGCTCACCTCCAGACACCCCTGCAGGGAACCAGAGCAGAAAAGGAGGAAAATGCCTGCCACCAGGTGTTTACTGAGAGGAACACCTGCATCAACAGACAGGAAACTCCTGGGAGGCGTTTGAGCAGGTGGCTGGAATTTCTGCAATTTCACGTAGGGTCAGGGGCCAAAGTATTTATTGTTTTGTGATTTTTGAGGTTCTGGTTTTAGCCCTAGACTGTTGTGGGGAGCATAGAGGAGGATAAAACAGGAACACCTAACCATGCCAGGGGCTTGGGGTAGGGGGAGGAAGGACGTGAAGCAAGGCTTCCAGAAGGTGGTGGTGGTGAAGCTGAAGTTTGCAAGGATTAAAGTTAGCCAGCTGAAGGGCAGGTGGCAGAATAAGGCAAGTCTATATAACCACAGATAGTTCCATAAAGCTGGAGGTATACAGGGGAGGAGGTTGGATGGGGTTAAGGAGAAATGAGGCTAGGAAGGGCCTTGACTATTTTGTACATGGCATGACACTCATTTCTTAGGTGTGTATCTTCTGCAGTGCATCTTAGATTGAGCCAGAGAAATGATGCTATATTTGATAGTCTTTATTTAGGCTGCTAAGTGTTGGGAGATGATTCTCCACAGGTCTCTCTTGTTTCTGCACGTCCTGGGCACAAAGACACTGACAGCTTTTATTCCAGACTATCTCTTCAAAGATATTTGTATAGCTAAAGCATTGGAAGATAGAGACAGGGTCTCCCTCTGGAGCACAAGGCAGGTTTGTTTATGTCCAGTATAGTAAAGATACTCCCTTGGGGCAAAGGTTGGGTCTTCTAAACTCAAGGCTCCTCAGCTGTGAAGCAAACCCTTTGTGTGTGTGGCGTCCACCTGGGCAGCTCCCCTTGCCCCTTGGGTCTTGATGGTGAGAGTGGGGCAGGTAAAGGGAGCCCACTCGAACCTGAGGTTCATGCTGCCTGCCGTGCTAGGAGTAATAAAGTCATTTGTCTCTGACCCAGGAGTCTCATGTCTTCTGCCCATGAACGTGTGGCAGGCTAACCCTTCACAGGAGGCGCTTGCCATATGGAACAGCCTATTAACTCAAAGTACAAAAATGGGCATGGGCAATGAAATATACCAAAAAATCTCTATCTGTAGATACCTTATATGACCCTTATTCAAATCACTAGAATCATAGCTCTCACGGTAAGTTAATGTAATGAAGCATTTATAAGCAAGCATTAACTTTGAGCAGCTGTAGCATTCAACTTGATCAATAGGGTTGATCAACATAGTCCACTGATTTATAGAAACAAATAAACTATGATTTAAGTATTTTAGCTAGTTTACAGTGAACTTTTTAGTCTTTCATTTTTTTAAAATATCTTTAATAACCCAAATCCTTCAAAACATCTAAGTCTAAATAATGGAGTAGAATGAATAAAGATGTAGTATCTTTTAAGTGACTTAATCAAATGGGTTTTTTTTGGTGATCTTGTGAATAATTTTGCTTAGCAACTTTTATAATTAACAGTTTATAAATAACTTAGACATTGAGGAAGGATCAAAGAGAGCGCACTTCTGTATATCTTTGGAGACACACTTTATCCAAATATGGCATTATCTGAAAAATAAAAAAAAAAGAAGTCTTTGTCATATGGCACAGTGCATTTTGTAGTTTTCAAAATAACCCTGGTGGGCAGAGAGGATGAGCACTGTTTTACAGATAAATAAACTAGTGGTTGAGCACTCGGCTGTTAACCGAAAGGTCGGTGGTTCACACCCACTAGCCGCTCTGTGGGAGAAAGATGTGGCAGTCTGCTTCCATAAAGGTTACAGCCTTGGAAGCCCTCTGGGGCAGTTCTACTCTGGCCTACAGGGTTGCTATGAGTTGGAGTCAACTCGACAGCAACAGGTTTGCTTTTGGTTTTTAGAAACACTAAATTACTAAAAGCATGAGCATAACCAAGGGCAGAAATAGAACCTGAACCCAAGTCCTCTGTTTTTAAGACAAACGTGTGTTTAAGCAAGACTGCCCCTCTTTGGCCTCCATATCTCCAAGTGGAAGACTGAAGAGAGAGCCTAGAGCTTTCTTGCTGAGAAAACCCCTTCCCTGAACTTCACATCACTTTTGGCAGGAACAGAGAGGAGCCCCCAGAACTCTGAGTGCTGCCAGCAAAATCCTCAACCTCCCTCCCCCTCCCCGCACTCTAAATCATCAGCACTAATCGCAGTCATCTCATTCTGTCCTTCTGTCGTCCCTCGTCCCTCATCCCCTGGATACTAATCCTCATCTAGCTCTATGGGCAGCCATGCATCCCCACCCTGTCTTCCTACCTTCCCGCCCTACTTTATTTTCCCCATAGCACTTACGCCATATATCTATGGAGCCCTGGTGGCGCAGTGGTTAAGAGCTTGGCTGCTAACCAAAAGATTGGCAGTTTGAATCCGCCAGCCGCTCTGCTGCTTTTATCCACTAAATCTAACCTTTATTAGGCAGGGAGTTTTGTCTTATTTTTCACTGTATCGCCAGCATATTGATAGTGCATAGAATAGTGCAAACATAAAGTAGGCAAGCAATAGATATTTCTGGGTGAGTGCGTAAATAAATGAATGAATGTGTTTCTTCCTCTTGCAGAGGTATGGCCAAAGGAAAAGAGTAGAGTGACTTCTAATATTGTGTGCGTCCAGCAAAATGTACCTTATTATTACCATTTCCAAAAAGTATTCTATCGCAACAGAGGTGTAGTGGGGAACTCTAGGTTTGTGAGCCACCACCCCAGGGCATGGCATTGGTCTCAAGGGGAATGAGGTAAGATTGACCACTACTTCTAAAAAAAATAGTCCACGTCCCAGTATTTATTCAGTCAGTAAACAAATATTTCCTGAATGCCTACTTTGTGCCAGACACCATTCTAGGGACTGAGGCTAAAGCAGTGAACAAAACAGTCACCATCCCTGCTTTTATGGAGCTTAGCATTCAGGAGTGATAAAAATAAAGCCGAGTAAGGGATTGCAATTTTAGATAGGGTGGTATCTGATGAGATGAGTTTTGAGCAAAGACCTTGTCATGGATTGAATTGTGTCCCCCCGAAATATGTGTCAACTTGGTTAGGCCATGATTCCCAGTATTGTGTGGTTGTCCTGCATTTGGTGATCTGATGTGATTATCCTCTGTTTTGTGATGTCTTGTAAATCCTAATCTCTATATTTAATGAAGCAGGATCAGTGTGGAGTGTATCTTGAGTCATCGCCTTATAAGAGGGTGTGATTCAAGTCATACCCTTGTTTAAGTCACACCTTTACTCAAGTCACACCCTTCCTTGAGTCTCTTCTTTTACCTTACAAGAGATAAAAGGAGAGAGAAGTGAGCAGAGATGAGAGGGACCTCAATACTACCAAGAAAGAAGAGCCGGGAGCAAAGCATGTCCTTTGGACCCAGGGTCCTTGCACTGAGAACCTCCTAGACCCAGGGGAAGTTGATGCCAAGACACATGGAGATCTCCAAGGAACGCTGGGCCCACAGATGTTGAAAGGAGACAAGACCTTCCCCCAGAGCCAACAGAGAGAGAAAGCCTTCCCCTAAAGCTGATGCCCTGAATTCAGATTTCTAGCCTCCTAAAGTGTGAAAGAATAAATTTCTGTTTGTTAAAGTCATCCACTTGTGGCATTTCTGTTATAGCAGTACTAGATGACTAAGACAGACCTGAATAAAGAGAGAGTGTTCCACGTAGAAGGAACAGCTTATGCCAAGTCCCTGAGGTGAGGACCAGCTTGGTATGTTCCAAGAACAGGAAGAAAGCCATTGTGGATACGTGGAATGAGTCTCAGGAGAGTGAGGGAGATGAGATTGGAAAGAGAAGCAGGGATGTGTTCATGGAGGGCCTGTAAATGCAGGGTAAGGAGTGTGGAGTTTATCCTAAGTGTGGGGTGAAACCACAGTAGAGTTTTGAGCAGCAAGTGACATATCTAATGTGTGTTTTTTAAAAGGTCAATCAGAGTGTTGTGTGAAGAAGTCAATGTGAGGGTAGCAACCGTGGGAGCTGGGGTCCCTGGTGTACTTTGGGAGAGAAATGATCAAGGACTGAATTGGGCTGACGGCACTGGTCAGATTCAGGACTGATTCTGAAAGAGGAGCTGGCGGGACTTGCTTGCACTGAAAGCGGGACGCGAGGGGAAGGGAGCTGAGTGTGACTCCATGACCTTTGGCCTGCTGAGCCGTTTGTTGACTGGTAGGGCCATTTCCTGAGATGAGGAAGCCTGGGGGAGGAGCGTGTGTGTATGGGAGTGGGGGATAGCAGTTCTGTGTTGGATGTGGTCAACTTGAGACACCACCAAGTACAAGTGTCAAGAATGCAACCAGACATGCAAGTCTGTAACTCATGAGAGAGCTCAGGGCTGGTGATAGAGATGTGGGAAATAGAGATGATGTTTTGTTTTACGACTGGTTGAGATCACCTAGACAGTAAACAGACAGTAAATATAGATAATGAGATGAGGGCCCGGTATTCAGCTTTGCTCAGCTTTGCGTTCTTTACCATTCAGAGGACGGAAGGAGGCCATCTTCTTATATAACAAAACCTGTTGCCTCGAGCCAATTCCGACTCAAAGCGACCCTGGGTATTGTTGACCGACCCTGGGTATTGTTGACCGTTTAAAACTTTTGACAGTATTCAGAATAAAGTGGGCGCTCAAAAAACATCAGCTCCCTTCTCTATACCCAGGTACTTTCCCTTTGTGGAAATAAAAAGTAAATAAGCCTCAGATATCTTTTTTTTAGCCTTGATTAGAATTAAAGTTGAAACCCAAAACCATAAATTTCAAGTAATAAATAATGAGAAAACCATGGGAGAAATTTTAAGAAACTTTTGATAATGCACAGTACTGGATGAACAATTACCCGTCATTTCTTTAGACCAGCAATTCTCAAGTGTTTTGGTTCCAGGACCCATTATACGCTTAAAAATCACTGAAGACCTTAAAGGTTTTCGTTCATGTGTGTCGTATCTCTCAATATTTACCATTTTAGAAATTAAAATGGAAAATTTTAAACTCAAGAACTTTCCATTAACAGAGTAATGATGTCATCACACATCATGTAGCTTCTAGATAATTCCATTTTACTCTTATCAGAGCCTGAGACTGAAAAAGGCAAATAATTTCTCAGTATTATTATAAAAATAGGCTTGACCTCATGGACCCCTGAAAAGGATTTCAGGAGCCCCACCTCCAGGGGCCCAGAACAAAATTAGAGAAACCCTATGGATCCCAGCAGTCCGATCCTGATGTGCAAGGCGTCTCTCGGAGTTGGAAGCCCGCTCAACAGCAGCTAACAATAAATAACAAAGTTTAGACTAATAAGGAAAAAGTGTGTATTGACATACCAGCTACCATAACATTTAAATCAGGTTATACTCATTGTGTACAACGTCATTGTAAAGTTCAGTTTCTGTTTAAGTCTGCTTGTTAAAAGGGGCAAAGAGCTGCCCAGCTACTATTATCTAACATTTCGATCAAGAACACAATAGGTGGATCCTGATAGAAAGGGAAAAATTGTGGAACAGAACTTCAGATTCCCAAAGAATCCAGACGTATGGATCCCTTGAGGCTGGAAGAACCCCAGTGACTATTGCCTTGGGATACTCTTCAAACCTTGAAACAGAACTAACCCCTGAAATCATCTTTAAACAAACAAAGTTTAGCTCAAAAAGTGAAGAATGTTATCCTTAAGTATTGCACTTAAAAAAAAAAATGTCTGTATGAGACCAAAGTGACAACAGTGACTCTGAAAGAGATAAGAAGGGTAGGGCAGTGAGTTTAAACTGAAGGGGTGTGTCTTAGGCTGGGTTCTCTAGAGAAGCAAAACCAGTAAAGCATATAAATATATATACAGAGAGATTTATATGAAGGAAATAGCTCACGCAATTGTAGAGGCTAAAACGTCCCAAGTCCACAGATCAGGGTAGAGGCCTCTCCCAGTTCACGTAGCCGCAGAAGCTGGTGAACCCAAGGTCGGCAGGTCGGAGAGGGGCTCCCGCTCACAGACTGTGAAGGTCAGTGAATTCCAAGATCAGCAGACAAGACAATAAGTTTTCTCCTGATTCCTGCAGCTGCAGGGGCTGGGGAACCCAAGGTCAGCAGGTCGGGGAACCAGACTCTTGCTTGCAGGCTGAGAAGTTTAACGAATTCTGAGATCAACAGGTAAGCGGCTAGCTCAAGTCCCAGCAACCGGAGGTGAGACAACAAGAGGCAGCTGCTGAGTCTAGAACAAGCCCAAAACCTTGGCAGGGCGAGCAGACAGCAAGTAACCCGGCGGAAGGCAGACAGACGAAACCGAGAGGGCAGTGAGCTGCCACAGACCCCGCCTCCGCCAGTACCACTCAGCAGATTCCCTCATGGGGGTGATCACAGCATTATACAACTGCTAAAACACGGAGAATAATGGTCTAGCCAAGCTGACGGACACTCTTAACCATCACAGGGTGACACAAGCAGGCAGGAATGATGAGAACGTTGACACAGTGTGAAGCATATAACCGATGTCACTGAACAATGTGCCTAGAAATTGTTAAGTGGGAACATGTCTGACGTGTTTATCTTTTCACCAAAAATAAAATAAAATTAAATTTAAAAGGGGAGGGGGGGAGCTTTTCTACAATATTGAAGGGCTTGTTTTAATGTTCCAAGATTGTTGGCCTATAACCTTGAAACCATGAGTGGGTTATGGAAACTAAATTTGTTAGACTTTGTATTGTAGAAAACTATCATGTAAAGTTGTAAACTACCTTTGTCATAGGAGGTAGCTTTTTTGTCCCCCGGTTCACTTATGAGAATTACCTACTGGCTGTGACTTTACTCATTTAGTTCTAAGTAACTCAACCAGAATAAAAGCTTATACAAATTCCCTTAGAATTAGTAACACAACTAAAGGCCTTCTTCCTAGTGAAAAGTGTTTCCGAGTAAGATAAATACATTACTTAAGTATTACCTTTAAGATAGTCAAAAACCTAAATGCTTAGAGAAACACCAAAAATTAGTGTAACAGAATATACTTATTGTGAGTAGATAGGATTCAAATTGGGCAGCATCAACCAGAGTGGAAGAGGCTGCGTAGGTCCGGCTCACTCTTATTTGCTCCCCATTGCTGACCGCCACGTTGTCTCATGATCTTGTCTTTCCCTCCCGTTCCAGTCCCTACAAAAGGTTTCAGATTAACCGATGTTCCTCCTTGGAGGGTGGAAAACAAGTGATCATGATCTAAGGATGAAAAAGCGAACAAAGCACCCATCTTGTGACAAGAAAACCAGGATGTCGCCAGATAACCCCCAAGAATACCAGTAGAAGATTAACTCATCTGAGACATGACCACCTCAAGGGGGAACTAACACAAACTTCTAAAACCTATAATCCTGTCCCTATAAAAGCCTTCAGCCGATCTCCAGTTGGGGAGATGGGTTTTTTGGAGGAATCTATTCCCCTCTGTCTCCTATATATCGATATATAATAAACCTCTTGCTGCTCACCTCACCCCGTCTCAAAATTGGCTATTGCAAAAGGCGGCTCCAATCCGCATTATTGCGGTAACATGAGTAGCTGAAAGCACTCCCAGGAGGGGATAGTGACAGTGGGTCATATAGGTTATTGTTATGTTAATTTCTCAGGATATAACATCAAAGCACAAGCAGCGTTTCAGGGTCTGTAGGTTACAGAAACAGAATCACCAAGGACACTCCATACATCCTAAAACACAGCCTCTGGTCAGACCCTGTAATTCTTGCTTCTCAAAGCTGGCTGCACACAGATAATTCCCCAAGAGAAAAAAAACACCCCAATGCCTAAGGCCAGACAGCCTCTGCTAAGCTGCTTATAGGCTATTGTTTGACCTGAAGGTGACTCCCGGGACTCAGTTCCTTTAAGATTCAGAAGGACGCCTAAAGGCAGATGGCCTGGGTGAGTCACCCCAATTCCATGAACCCAGAAATCTGGATTCCAGGAGAATCAAAACGATTTTGTCAAAACACAATGGGTCGGTCATTCCCACTAGAATGGTAAATATATAAAAAAAAAAAAAAAAAGGTAAACAACAAGTGTTGCTGAAGTTGTGGAAAAACTGGAACCCTCATCCATTGCTGATAGGAATGTAAAATGGTACAGCCACCGTGGAAAACAGTTTTGCAGTTCCTCAAAAAGTTGAACATAGAATTACCATATGACCCAGCACTCCCATTCCTTGCTATGTATCCAGAAGGGAAGGCAGGGACGCAAACAGAAATCTGTACACCGGTGTTCATTGCAGCGCTTTTCACAACAGCCAAAATGTGGAAACACCTGAAATGTCCACCAACAGAGAAATGGATGAACAAAGTGTGGTCTATACATACAACGGGATATCACGCAGCCATAAAGAGAAACGGAATTCTGAGGCATGCCACAACATGTGCTAACGAATGTTTTGGTGAGTGTATTTTCACACAGAAACCGCAATGGGGAGTCTCGGTTTTCCACGCCACAGTGTGTCACCCTCTCTACACCACTTACTAAGGGCACTGGGCAAATGTGAAGTCACAAACCCATCATCAAAAAATTACATCTCCAAGATGGCAATCCTTTTGTTTCTGACCTAAATTAATAATTTGTTGATTGTATTTAACAACATTACATACCCCACCAAAGAAGGAATATAAATGGCCAACAAACACACAAAAAGATGCTCAACGTTATTGGTCATTAGGGAAAAGAAAATCAAATCCATGATGAGATCTCACTTCATACCCATTAGATTAGCTGTGATCCAAAAAAAGGAAAAACAACAGGTGTTGGTGAGGAAGTGGAGAAATTGGGACCCTCACCCTTTGCTAGTGGGACTGTAAAATGGTACAGTTGCTACGGAAAAGTCCGACAGTTCCTCAGATAGTTAAACACAAGAGTTACCATGTGATCCAGCAATTCCACTCCAGATTACATACCCAAAAGAATTAAAAGCAGGCACACAGACAGATACTTGTACACCAACGTTCATTGCAGCACTATTCGCAATAGCCAAAGGTGGAAACAGCCTCAAGGCGATCAACAGATGAATGAATAAACAACATGTACCGGGTATGTATAACGGAATATTACTCTGCCGTGAAGACAAAGTACTGATAACATGCTACAACTTGGTGAACCTTGAAAACATTCTACTGGGTGAAATAAGTCAGTCACAGAAGGACAAATATTATATGATCCCACTTACATAAAATATCTAGAATAAGCAAGTATATAGAGGCCAAAGTTTATCAGTGGTCACCAGGGATGACTGTGCAGGAGGGAGGGGAGAAGGAGTCTCACTGTTTGGGGGACACTGAGCTTTGATTAAGGGTGATGGAAAACGTTGGAGGCGAATAACAATGATAGTTGAACGACATGATAAACATAATTAATGTCACTGAATTTTACAAGTGAAGAACGTTGATAGGAGAATCTTTTGGTAAATATATATTTACCACAAGAAAAAAAAATTACACATCCTATTTTTTTAAACAAATGAAAAATCACTATCCGTTTTGTGCTTTGACCTGGCAACAAGCAGTCACAGTCCCAGGTATTATCAGCTCTTCTTTACTGTCTACAAAATAATGCCACCGTCAGACCTGGTTGTGACTCTCCCACCCTGTCTCCTTCTACATTTTTTTTTAAAATTTTGTTGTTGTTGTTGAGAATATACACAGTAAAACGTACAACAATTCAACCGTGTCTACGTGCCCCGTTCAGCGACATTCCCACCCTTCTGGTCCGAGTTGTTCCTCCCTCATTAACATAAACTCCCCGTCCCCTCTCCCGCTACATTTGATTTCTGTTCCTCAGGGCTTTTTGTTTTGCTGTTTCTCATCAAAACCATCTCCATGTACCTCATTTTGTACATGACGTTTTTGCAAGGCAACAAAAATTGGTGAGAAAGAAGGTCTCTGGAGTTTTTGTGGCCTCTTAAATTATCTATACAATCCTTCTAAAAATGTGGTTCTGGGGCTGTGAGCATCGGAATCAGCTTAGCGTGCCGAGAATGCAGATTCCAGAGCCCAGACTAGAGCCTGTTGCATGAGCTGGCCTGAGGTGGGGCCAGGATTCTGTCCGCACGGCAATGAGAATCTCTGTCTGCAGTAGATCTTACAGCAACCAACCTAGGTCCCTGGCACTTATGACTTCAGACATCTCCCTTTTAAACTATCCCGGGGCAATAGCTATGAGCCTCTTTCAACACCAGAAATTCTTCCTAAAGTTTACTTTATAAATCTTTCCTATGGATGTCCCTGGAGAAAGATATGTTTGGTAGACGGTCAGCGAAAAAGAGTAAGGCCTTCAAAGAGATGGATTGACGCAGTGGCTGCAACAATGGGCTCAAGCACGACAATGATTTCGAGGACGGCGCAGAACCAGGCAGTGTTTGGTTCTGCTGTACACAGGGAAGTAAGTCGGAACTGACCTGACGGCACCTAACAAAGAAAAACAAGACAACTGACTGGGTGGGATTCCTACCATAACATCTTACTTTTTGGTGGAAAGTGCTTCTTCTCTGTGTGAACAAGGCGACTCAGTTTGACCCAGGAGCTCCTGCCAGTGTCTGGAACAGATTCTTTGGTCTTGCTATGATCAGGCAACCTGCAGGCATTGAAATGCCTCTTCTGAGCTCTCAGTAGGCTGACTTGATTGCTTCTTTCCACGAAGCAGTTGGATTCACGCCTTTCATTTATCTCCTCCAGGAGCTGTTGTTTGCTTCCTTTGAGTTTTTTAATTATTTGGTTAGTTCTGTTTATACATGCCATTATGCTAACAAACCATCAGTGAGTGATTCTTGCTGTCCTGCAAGCAGATGAAAAAACACTACAGTTGTTTGCTTGACTTAGAAACAAGTACTCACAATCAGGTATTTACCATTTTCTCTTTCTTCTGCAAAACAATGCCACCACCACACCCGCTCTGCAGATCCCTTCACTCTTTATTATTGTTCTTAAGGTCTTTTTTATTCTGGTTTCTCTCCAGGGGGGAAAACAAAGGACACACACAAAAAGAACATCACACACACAAACAAAAACTCATTGCTGCTGAGTTGGTTCCAATTCATAGCGATCCTACATAGGGTTTCCAAGGCTATAAATCTTTGTGGAAGCAGACTGCTGTCTTTCTCCCGAGAAGCAGCTGGTTGGTTCAAACCACCGTCCTTTCGGTTAGCAGCTGAGCGCTTAACCACTGTGCCATTCGGGGCCCCTTCAAGAAGGGCATAGTAAGAGAATATATTTTGTTTTTGTTTTTAATTCTATGCATTGGTTTTTGTTTTTAGTAACATTTATTGTTTCTTCTGGCTATAAAAATAATGCAAATTCACTGTAGAAAAAATATACAGACAAGCATAAAGAAGAAAAGTTAAAATCATTCTTGATCTAAAAATGAGCAACATTAATATTTTGAGTGTTTCCTTCCCAATAAAAAAGTATTCAAAGAGATTTCATTCTATTAACTCAGAATGTAAACGGACAGATTACTTATGAGTGTTTCGTCTTTTCAACTTGGGTTAATTTGGATTAATTACAGAAAATGTAAGTGTGATTGTTTTTTATGAAATGACAAGAATAGGTAAATACAGACAGACCAATGTTATTAGTGGTTCCCGGGGCGGGAGTGGGAGGGAGAGAGAGAACCATTCTCTGGGAAGTAGTGGGTTTTTGTCTACCACGACGAAGGGCGATGGTTATACAATTTGACTAATGTAACTGATGTCACTAAACCATACACCAGAAAAAGGGGAAAATGGCGAATGTTGTGTTATAGATAATTTTATAGCAACAACAAAACCATAAAAAACGTACAACTGTTGCTACTATTTCGATACAAGCCAGCACTTCATGGAATTAGTTTTCTTGGTTCAGTGGCTTATTGTCATGGTTTCATAGGACAGTCCACTCAATCGGCCTAATATTGTTTTTACAGTTTCTGTTCTATCTCATAGTTCAGTGAATAGTGCCTTGGGTTTCAAAGCTTGCAAACGGCCATCCAAGATACAATAATTGGCCTCTATTCACCTGGAACAATAGCAGAAGAAGGGGACCCCGGAATAGGAAAAGCAACCGGACTGCAGATCTAATTGCCTCCATGAACAACTGCCTCCTTTGCCATGAGACCAGAAGAACTGGATGGTGGCCGGCTACCATTACTGAATGTTTTGATCAAGGACTCAGTAGATGGATACTGTTCAAAAGGGGGAAAAAGTGGAACAGGATTTTAAATTCCTATGGGATCCAGACTTACTGGACCTATTGAAACTGGAGGAATTTCTAAATCTATTGCCCTGAGATAATCTTTAAACCTCGAACTGAAACTATCCTCTGAAGTCATCCTTAAATCAAACAACAGTTTAACGCAATTAGCAAAAAAAGTTTACCGTGAGCATTGTGCTTTTTTAAAGAATTATCTATATAAGATCAAATTGAGAGCAGTAACTCTAAAGCATAGATGAGAAGTTTAGGAGGCAGTCAGCCTAAGTCAATGGGGGTGAAACAATTTGTGTAGATATACAAAAATGTTTAATGTGAAGAACATAACCAATGTCACTGAATTGTACATGTAGAAATTGTTAAATTGGTTAAATTGTTATACGTTTTCACCAAAAAAAAAAAAAAAAAAAGAAACTCACATTAATAGTTATCTAAATGAAAAGAATTTCCATTTAAGTGACCGTGGTGGACTAGAGGAGCCCCGGCAGTGCAGTGGTTAAGAGCTCGGCTGCTCATCAAAAGGTCGGCAGGTTGAATCCACCAGCTGCTCCCTGGAAACCCTATGGGGCACTTCTGCTTTGTCCTATAGGTTCACTATGGGTTGGAATCGACTCAACAGCAAGAGGTTTGGTTTTCTGGTGGGGGGATTACATTATTCAGACAAACCTCCCAGTAAGAACTACTAAACATGCTGAGAAAAAATATATTTAAAAGATTTATCAGTAATGAACTGACAAGAGAATAAGGAAATATCAGGCCCATAACTAAGAGAAAGCAACAACCCAGAGAAGCAGACAGAGTCCAAGCTGAGTTGACCCTGAGGACACTGTGATCCCAGAGAATTAGAGACGTAGTTTTGCCAGCCTTGCAGGGCAAAGGGCATAAAAATCAAAGCCAAGGGCCTGCACACACTGAGGAGTTGAAAGAAGACCTCTACATTAAGCTGGGACCCAAAGGGTTACCCTCTTAGGGTGAGGGTGGGACAAAAATAAACCCACACAACCCGCCCACCTCCCAGGAAGTGTTGCCCTGGTAGTCAGCACAGCTCTAGGGGAGAATCCCTGCAGAGAAAGTTTTAAGTACCCTCTGTCCTTTGCGTGGGTTCTCAGCCCAAATGTGCAACCGGGGTGGTTACAGGAAACAACAAGCTGAGGAAACAGGATGGTTGAAAGAACGGTCAAGCTTTAGAAACCCAACGGGGCAGTTCTGCTCTGTCCCGTGGGGTTGCTGTAGTTAGAACTGGCTCGAAGACAGCGGGGTATTTGTTTTTTGTTTTCTGTGTTTTTTGTTTTTTGGTATGCCTGTCTTTAGAAATAAAGAACAGTCAAGCTGAGAAACAAGTGTGGTACGAGAAATGTCAAACTGAAAATTTAGCTTAAGGGGTTCCAGACTGGGAATATAACTCGGTGCCTGACAGAAGCAGACTGAAATCTCCAGAAGAAATTCATCCTACGCCTCTGGGAATTCCCAACAATACATTTTTTAAGGATAACCAATAGTACACAGCCCAGGACAACCAACCCAACACACAAGTAAGATATCAAGAAGAGAGAACAGTAAAAAACCCACAAAATCTACATGTGTTAGAAATACCAGACAGAGTATAGAATGCTCTTGCTTTTACTATATTTATTAGAAAACAAGTTCACGACTATTTTTAAGAAACAAGAAACAAAAACGAATGTCTAGAAATAAAAAACTATATAAATAAATTTAATATTCAGTGTATGAGTTTAGCATCGAATAGATTCAGGAAGAGAGAATTAGAGAACTGGAGTCAGAAACACAAAAACATGGACAAGTTAAAATATGTGCCGGACACAGTGAGAGAGTTAAGCCTACGGGGAGTGAGCAGAGGATAAGAAAAGACAGAAACAAGATTTGGAAAGACGACTGAGAAATATCTAGAAGTGATGAATGATACCAATCCACAGACTCAAGAAGCTCAAAAAATACCAGTTAGGATTTTAAAATAAGCCACACTTCAGTGAAACTTGGAAAAAAAAAAAAAGTCTTAAAATCAATCAGAGAATAAAAGGAGAGGCAGCTGGACTAACATCTGACTCCCCATGCAGCAACAACAAAAGCCAGGAGACAGAGAAATATTTTCAATATGCTAAAGAAGTTCCACGGAGGTAAATCAGCACATAAAAAGATGCTCAGCATCATTAATCATTAAACCAAACACACACACACACACATACACACACACACACACACACAGATTGCTGTCTCACAGGACACAGTAGAACTGCCCCATAGGGTTTTACAATCTCTTAAATAGAGACAAAGTACGTGACCCATGATTTTTAAAAAAATTTTTATGTGGTAAAATACAACCAAACATTTGCCACTTTAACCATTTTTAAATATACAATTCAGTGACATTAGTTACATTCACCACGGTATGAAATCATCACCACCATCCATTTGCAAATGTTTTTCACCACCCTAAACAGAATTGATGAGAACACTGCTTTTACTTAAGATACTAGTGAAGAACCCCATGTTATCTGTGAGGGTAAGGAGCCTGCCATGGCTGCCATCTAGGAGCTCCCCTAAGTCCAGGTATTGATCATCAATGTGTATCTCCAATCTCTGATCAAAAGGAGGGACTGATTTAGGAAATAATATTAGTCATTATTCCCTGTCCTTGAGCATAGAAAATGTGACCCAGCTGGAGCTGGGCTCACAAGGACTCACAAGGACACATCAATAGGACCCTGAGACACAAAGACAATAGCTAGGATAATCTTCGGAAATATTTTTTAGGGAAACTTTCACATAAACCAATCAAACACAATACAAAATATGTTCCACTCTTATCTTTTCCTATCAGCATTTAGTGAATGGAAAATTGTTGGACCAATGAAGACCCTCCTTACTGTCGTTGCTGAAACCTGTACCAATGATTGTTACGACGATTCAAAATGTAGGATCATAGTTTCTAGCCAATCTGTGAAAAGGTGGAGCTTTCCATGGTTTTGCCCATTTGTAATGTTAATATATATTGATGATTCTGTAACATTCCTCAGACTTGGGCAGACACGGTTCTCGCAACATGCTCGTCCATTTTCCCACTTTTGTCTGTAATATTCCTCGGACTCGGACAGACATGGCTGTGGCAGCATGCTTGTCCGTTTTCCCACTTGTGTCTGTTCGGTAATGTTCTTTGGATTCAGGCAGACATTAGCTCTGGCAGCATGCTTGACTGCTTCTCATTTTTGCCTTTTTGAATATATGCCAAATAAAGCTTTCTTTTTGCTTTACTAAACTTTATGAAGCTTTTTCCACCAGCCTCTCCTTGGAAACCATATGGGGCATCTCTACTCTGTCCTATAGAGTCGCTGTGAGTCGGAATCAACTCGATGGCAACGGGTCTGGTTTTAAACAGAAAATCCAGTAAAAAAAAAAAAAGTTGCCATCAAGTCTATTCCGACTCATAGCGGCCCTAGAGGACAGAGCAGAACTGCCCCATAGGGTTTCCAAGGAGCGCCTGGTGGATTTGAACTGCCAACCATTTGGTTAGCAGCCGAGCTGTTAACCACTGCACCACTAGGGCTCC